GGGGGGGTCTTTCTGAGGAATGGCATATTGATATTAACAGTTCCTACTGCCACTTCTTACCTATGTGATGTTCTCCTCAAGAGAAATGAAAGGACAACCCCAGCAGAAATCTAGGGAGGAGGTGGAAGGTCTGGCTCTGGAGACATCACCTGGACTTTTAACTGTGAGCCTTTCATCTCCTCAAGAGCAGAAGAGGATGGAGACTTTGTGCCTTTGCATTCTCATATAGATATATAGCACCAGCTGAAACATACGCAATTACAAAGTAGAGTTGGATGGAAGGATACCTATATAAGGCAGATGCCAGGTTAATCAGATTCAGCAGTACTCCTGTGATAGTCAGTTTATGCACAGCTGTTTATCCACTGCTCTTTATTTATTTAATTAATTTATTCCATGTCTTTAGCCTAGTAGGGAACCCAAGGCAGGTCCTATCAAATTATATAGATAACATCTTTTTGATACAAAGTTTTAAAAATTAAATAACTCAGTTAAAGGTTTTTATAGAGGTTTGCAAAGAGTTTTTGATACATTTTGAATTTTAATGCAGAATTGTTTTAACTTTTAAAATTGTTTAATTGCTTTTTAAATTTTATATTTATACATTTTAATGCTTTTGTATTGTTTTTAAATTGTTTTGTTTTAAACTTGATGTTTGCTGCTTTGAGTCCGTAACTTGGGAGAGAGGTGGAATGTAAGTAAATAACAACAGCAAAAATCATGAAAATTTAAAACATAATAAAAAGATAACACACACAATTAAATTTAATTGGCATCACAGATCCCATTAAAAGATCCTTCTGCCACAATACCGATTTAAGCAAAAGCAAAAACAAAAAATCTTCTCCTGCTAGAAAGAGAGAAAAGAGGGACAACCAAATCTACCCTAGAAATAATTTCACAAGCTGTGAACAGTTAAACCAATTACTTGTTGATTTTTGACAGGTTATATATCTTGTGTTTACTACTTCTTTTGCTTCTGGACTCTGGCACATTCTTGGACTTTTCTTCAGTTTTTCCTGTCTTCTCTCTTCATCTCGCTAAGAGTGCTCCTCAACAAAAATTGAGGAAAAGGCACTGGAATTTCTTCCCATAATCTTAAAATATTCAGGATTTTTGTTTTCTTGTAAAGAGCACTGCATGCTATACTGATTTGTGCATTGGCCTATGACTCTGTAGATCTGATTTTGATTCCCTGCTTGGCTATAGAAACTCACTGGGTGACCTTGGGCTAAGAGTCCCACATTCATAGCCCCAGAAAACCCCATGATAGATTTGCCTTAAGGTGACTATAATTCAGAAATGTATTGAAAGTACACAACAACAAAGATGGAAAATTCATTTAAAAACTGTTCATTTTTCAAAGAACTCATGCAGTTTTACTCAGAACTGTTCAACATTCTGAAAAAACTAGTATGCAGTTATAAGTTTGCCTCTGGCCATGACTATTTCATTTTTCATAATTTTTTGAGAAACTTAATGGATGGATTAGATATCCAGGAATTACTAAATAAGGATGTATTATATAGAGTTGACCCTCTGTATCAGCAGGGGTTCAGTTCTAGACTCCCCCTCCACACACACAGATACAAAAAGAATTGGACCTCAAGTCACATTACCGTCAATGGATGATGATGTGTGCATGGCTGCATAATGGGGTGGGACCATTTGTGGATGCTCTAATTGGGGGTGGCTAGCCTGCCAATACTGAGCTGGTTTTCTGGTTTTGCTTGATATAAGGCTATAGTATGCAAGAAACTGTCAATCCAGCAATTTGTTTATCATGATGTATGAAATAGAATCTCTAGCTTGATTTTCATCAAACAAACCAGAATCATGTGCAGGGTACTAACCACTGCAAACCCTAATGGCTCTAGCTTGTCTGTGGGGAGACAAGCTAGAGTTCCTAGTATGCAGATTACTGTCAGGATTTAAAGTACAGATAAAGTGCCCTGGCCATTTCAATCCTCACAAGTTAGCTTAACTTCTTTTTTCCTTGTCACCAGGGGTGAGGTAGTGAGTAGCTTGTCCTCTTGGCAAGAGGATCTAGGAAATAGAGATGGAGCTCTGTGCACCTGCAAACTGGCTTTTTCAATAAGTGATTGTGAAAGCAATGAATAAGGATTTCCCCCTCTGTTTTGGGAAAGGTAATAGTATGTTTCATCTAATTACTTTTGTTGATTGCTGACATGATTTTCAAAGGAATGTATCTGAGAACCATAATAACTAGAAAAATCAACAGATGTGACCCATTCTCATTTAAATTTGGCATCAGTATTTGAAAACACCTATGTAGCAAATAGAAGTTATAGTCTACCTTCTGGAGGTCATCATTCTTAACTTAATTAGTACCTATATCCTAGCAAAGTTGGCTTTATATTCCATGAATGGGCAAGATTCCTATGAAACAGATGGACCTGAGTGCTGGTGAATGATAAAGCCAAAATTTTCATTCTGTTTAAATATCATCAACTGGATTTCCCTTTAGGAATGTATGAATTTGCAGAACAGAAGTGCTTCTGGATGATGAGCAAAAGATGCCTTTAGCTTCTGTCTCCAAATTCATTAAAGTTGAGATAGGGTTTATTAAACAGGTCCTTTAATACTGTGCAAGACAAAAGCAAGTTTTTCATTTATTAATGTGGTAGATTGCAAACCTGAATAGATTACAAAATGTGTCCATGATCCAAACTTCTTGCACAAGATCTCAGTATAAACTGATTGTTTCTGCTCAAAAAGCTTTTGTATTTTAGCTGTACAAAAGATCATGTTGAAAGGAAAAGAATGCAAATGACAAATAACCTCATAAATAAGAAGTTAAATACCACCAAAAAGATAAAACCTTTACGTATGCTTTATGATTACTTTGAAGCATTGTAACATTGTTTTAAGTAAATCTAAAAAAGCATTTCACTTCCTTTGTTCAAACAGTTAGTTGCTAAGGTATAATAAAATCTAAAGTATCCAAATGAGGATTGTCTTATACTCTTGCCAGTTGCAAATGTAGGCTGTAAATATAAACTAGAATAGTCTTTACCAATTGACAAGGGGTACATTATTCCAAGTTGCTGGTTATTATGTGTGAAGAGTGCCCCAGCTGTGTCATTGGTGAGGTTAAAAGGTGTTAGTGTTTGCATCTTGTAAATGAACATAGTAAATGAAAGCGAACAATTAAGTAAGAAATTTGGCTTGGTATCTGTGCATGCTGTGTTTTATTGTGGTGTTGCCAGCTTCTTTAAATGAAAATACAAGAGCAAATTAAACAGCTTTATGAACTCGCAGGAGGAGCAGTTGTTCTAGTGGCTTTCATACAACTGTCTAATTAATTCTCAAAGTAACTCAAATTGTCCTTTTGTGATCAGTGAATGGGAATTTACAAAAGAACCTGTGCAGATGAAACTAAGTGAAATGGGACATGGGATTTAATGATTAGCTGGCAGTTTGCTGTTGCTGGGACCAGAAAATTTTAGTTAGTTTTCTCATTAATATTACATTAGTAAGTTAATGAAACATTTGGGTGAATATATTATAAGTAATAGAGGCATTAATGGTTTTTTTGTTCACTCAGTTATGCTAATTGGCATCTGTTATTTTGTCACAATGTGTAAATCTTAGCTGTGAAAATATAAGAATAAATTATTGAATGTGGACATTTCTTTTAAGAAAAATATTGCCTTTCAATTGCTTGTTCCCCTAAACTTTATTTTGCATTGAGATTTTTCCTGGAACTTTTGTTTAAAGAAAATATATTTCCACAGTGTTTCATAACATTGCTTATGTTTTGAAATATGTGTAGTAAAAGTTATTAATGAGGTACAAAACACAAGCTTTTAAATATTGCAGCAGTTTGCTTTTTCATGAATCTTTAGGGAAGGGCAAGACTCCACTCCCTCATCCCCTCTACCCCCTGCTAAGTTAATTGAATGCAAAATACTTTTGCAGCAACTGAAGTAAGTTGAGGACAAAGGGAGAAAGTAGAAGAGAGGTATATTGTTTATATTGGATGGAGTGATCCTTTAGCTGCCATGGGCCCACACCATATGTGGCTTTAAGCATGATAACAGGTATTTTGCTTGGAAACCTAAAGAGACTTGATTTATTTAAAAAAAAAACTATGGGGCTGTACAGACTGGCACTAAGGGCCAGCTTGGTGGTGGAGTGGGGGTGTGGCGACTGCATGCGACATACCCCGACTTCACTCCAATGCTGGCATCATACCACCCACCCAACCAGATGGTGGGTGGTGTCACAACATTTCTGCAGCATAGCATTTCTACATGCTGTGTGTAGAAATAGCAAAAAACTGCAGCAGTAGCAAAGATGGCTTTTTGCTGGTTCTAAAAGTAGCAGCAATTTTTCTCTTCTTTTGGAGCTGGAAAATCACTGGATTGGGGCCATGGTGTGCCGTTGCTGCAGCCCCAATCTGGTGCTCAAAGAGGCAATGGCAAGCCACTCATTTGGGGCCATCTGTTTAGCCCCTATGTTAGTTCTATGCACAACTATTCTTGTATTAATACATATTCTTTGTATCTAATCATTCATGCTATTTGTTTATTTATTAAAATATTTATGAATCACACTTCTGTCCAAGGCAGCATACTAATTTAAAAATACTCGTAATGGAAATAAATCATATCCAAAACAAATCAAACTATTTAAAACACCCATAGATTGCAATAACACTATTTAAAATGTATCAAAAATCAGTCCAACTTTATTGCCTGCTAAAAGTCAGACAGCAATAGGGCCAATTCAGA